TCACAATTGCATTCATCCAATTATCACCATCATTTTAAGAACAAGCTGAAGACCTGGTTCTTCAGGCAAGCCTTTCCCCCTTCCATTTCTTAGTTTTTATGTTTTATGATCTTGGACTTTCTCTATCTCTATGTTGTTGATATTATTGTTTTCATTTTTGTTATATTCTCGGACTGTAAGTCACCCAGAGTAGATTCGTTGAATCTAGATGGGCGGGGTAAAATCTGGATAGATAGATAGATAGATAGATAGATAGATAGATAGATAGATAGATAGATAGATAGATAGATAGATAGATAGATAGATAGATAGATAGATAGATAGATAGATAGATAGATAGATAGATCTCCCAAGCTAATTTTGGGAATGCTTGCTTACAGTGCATGTTGTTGTGTGATCAGAGAGAGGTGACAGAAGCCTAAGGTGCAATGGATGAACTACTTTGTTCACAGCCAGGGGAAAAAATCTCACCGTTTATATGACACCACGTAGAAGAGGCCATCAAATGCCTATGTTCGAGTACTATTAAAAATGAACTGTCAGTGTACCAGTTTCGGCTTAGAGAACCATTTTCAAGAGATAACCAACCCAGGTGTTTATCTAGGAAATCTTTAGTATCAGTCCAAATTTATGTGTTTGTTGTTATCATTTTAGAAAAAAATTCAAAGAAAGAAACTTTCTAAAGTGTAGGCATGTAGCTCTCAGCCAGAGGGAAAGCATTTCATAGCTTAACTTTCTCAGGCATGCTTTATGAAAAATCAAGGAAGCAGCTATGATCAGGCAGTACAAAAAAAGGGCTGTGAGTCCACCCAAAGTCTCAGGGGAATCACTTTCAACATACTTTATAATAAACCCAGTTCAAGTTGGAACATCCTTGCAGAATTGTGTGCTTCTAACTGTTACAGGTTTGGAGATCTTTTGGGCAAACAAACAAGGAATGTCTCCAATATTCCTTTGTGGCCAACATCTATGTTTCCTTACAGCATGAGAACAGCTATAAAACTAATATGACAAATCTATGAGAGCCAGAAATGTACTGTAGAATGAATGGAGCTGGGTGCGTGGGTGGGTGGAAATCCTTGAAAATAATAAAGGGATGTGTCTGTCACATGGCTTAGCATCAGTAGGTTAGGCATGCAATTTCTTGATGTATTCCCCTGGCTTTATCTTTTGGAAATGGAGGCTGTAAAAGATGAGAGAGAGTGTCTAGGAAGAAAAAGGAAAGGGTGTGTCTGGAGAAGGAGGAGCATGTGGGAGTATATCACTGATGCCTGAAATCTGGATCTTGTAAATCCAATTGCTGTGACAAATCCCCCATTGTTTAAAATGCAGTTTGTGGTACCACAGTTGAAAAGTGGGAGTGGGAGGGCAGGTCTTTCCCTTGCTTGCAGGGTGCATTTCAAGCTATTTTCCGTTCTCCACAGCATGCTGCCCTCCTTCTCAGATGGTGCTGAGGAAGAGAGGAAGAGATGGGATATGTCACACTGAAGGCTGTGCTGACATTGGCACTGATTTTTTTTTTTAAATTGGACTCTGTTTCCCACTTCATTTACCTTCTGTAAAAGCAGCTCAAAAGTGAAGCTGTGTATATTCCTCTTCTAAAACTTCCTCCAGCTGTGCTTCTTGGAGGGCTGTCATGATGGGAGAGTCTAGAACTTACGGTCTATCAGGGTGTAATTAGAACTGAAACATGGGACAGATGGTGTATCTCTCAATAAATATTGGTGGGTTGTTTTGTTTTTTACTTTTTTACAGAAAGTGCAAGTGGGAGGGTCTTTCAATCTAATTTGAAACTGGCACAGGAGAGGGTGCTTGACTCTTCAACATTTTCTCTTTCATCTCTTTTTCCACCTGAAACAGAAAAGATGCTGGGCCAGCAGCACTTAACCTTTTTGGGTTAGAGATCCCTTTCAGAATTTAATAAAAATTATAGATCTCCTTCCCAGAAAAATTCTCAAAA